AAAAAATGTATCTCAACGGTTTTGTATTAATTGTGTGCTGAAATGATAATATTATGGGTTAAATAAAACTATTTGATTTTTTTCTGTTTTAACTTTTCTGATGTGGCTACTACATAATTTCACATTCTCTAGGTGGCTCACTTTCTGTTTCTCTCCAACAGCACTGTTCTAGACCGTGTTAGGAAATCTAGACTTCATCTTGAGAGCACTGGGAAGGGTTTGAAGCATTTTTAAACAAGGAAGTGATGTGGTCCGGTTTGCATTTTCAAAAGACTCTGTGGTGAGGAGATGGGATGGTGGGGAGACAAGACCAGAGGCAGAGAGAACACTTAGGGGCCACTGCAGTCATTCCAGTGAGAGAGGGTGATTAGACAAGGTAGTAGCAATGCAGGTAGAGAAAAAATTTTAAAGTCTAATTACTAACACCAAACAACTCTCACTCCCATGAGAAATGAATGATAGGTTGAACCATATCAAATTTCCATCTTTGTCAATCAAAAATGGTTGAATATTGAAAGAGCTAATATGGGCCAAAGTTGGAAGAGTAGAGTCACATAATAAAGACAGCATTATCAGTGTGTGCATGTGCGTGCTCAGTCATGTCCAATTCTTTGCAACTCCATTGACTGTAGCCTGCCAGGATCCTCTGCCCATGAGATTTTCCAGGCAAGAATACTGGAGCGGGTTGCCATTCCCTTCTCCAGGGGATCTTCCTTAGCCAGGATCGAACCTGAGTCTCTTGAGTTTTTCCTGCATTGGCAGGTGGACCTTTTACCACTGAGCCACCTGGGAAGCCCAGATAATATTATATTGTAATAAAAAAATGACATAAATATACGAGTCCATACTGACATAAATAATGGACTAAATAATAAATTGGGGAGAAGTAACAACTCTTTCACATAGAAAATTCTGATCAATAAATAACAAAGGAAATAAGGAATCACCATTAGTGTATCAGAGTAATAACTGCCTCGATCAAGATCCACTTAAGGATAGTAAAAGGAGTGGGGAAAATTCGAAGCAGAAATAGGTTGTTGGTATAAAGTATCTCATTCTAAATATGTAATAATTATAAAGCAAGAAATGGTCAATTTACAATGGAAAATTCCAGCAGGTATCACCACCTTAGCCATGTGGTGAAGGTTACCGTTTCCAGTAATACACAATGACATCATGTATTCCTTGATATGAGGCTTTGAGAACATTATCACTCTGTGGTATCTTCCCAATTAACGCATAACCTCAATCTAATCATAAACAAAGGATCAGACAGACCAAAGTGAGAGGCAGAAATAACTGACAACCCTGTTCCAAAGGGGCTTCCCTGGTGGCTAAAGAATACAGTGGTATTTACCTAAAGTAGTAAAGAATACAGTGCAGGAGACGTGGGTTTGATCCCTGGGTCAGGAAGATCCATTGAAGAGGAAAGGGAAGCCCACTCCAGTATCCTTGCCTGGAGAATGCCATGAACAGAAGAGCCTGGTGAGCTACATACAGTCCATGGGGTCTCAAAGAGTCAGACATGACTTGGTGACTAAATAATAACTGGTCCAGAGAGATGAGAGAAGACCAAGGCATAACCATAGATTGGAAGAGCCTGACAACTAAATGCAATTTGAGACCTTGGATTAGGTCCTGTAATAGCAAGAAGACATTAGTAGAAAAAACAGTGAAACCCAAGTGTACTTTGGTTAGTAACACTGTACTAAGGTTAATTTCTTCATTTTCATAAATGTTCCATGGCTATGTTAACCAAAAGAGGAAGCTGGATTAAGCCTATATGGTAACTCTATAACTTTCTCTCTATAAATCTACATTATGTAAAAAGAATTAACAGTTGGACTTCCCTGGTGGTCCAGTAGTTAAGAATCCACCTGCCAATGCAAGGGACGTGGATTCGATCCCTGGTCTGGGAAGACTCCACGTGCCTTGGAGCACTTAAGCCCTTGGGCCACAACTACTGAAGCCTGCGCCCAAGAGCCCGTGCTCTGCAACAAGAGGAGCCACTGCGACGAGAAGCCTGAGCACAGTTATAGAGTATCACCCGCTCACAGCTAGAGAAAACCCACCGGCAGCAACCAAGATGAGTGCAGCCATGTTGTTTTGTTTGGTTTTTTTTTTTTAAGAATTAACCATCAAGAGAGCTGAATACCAGCAATTTCAAATACTTCAACTCAGTATATAAATCAGATAGGAAACAGCCAAATATGACACACCAAAGCTACACAGGGATCAAGACCATCCCCAAGAAAAAGAAATGCAAAAAAGGCAAAATGGTTGTCTGAGGAGGCCTTACAAATAGCTGTGAAAAGAAGAGAAGCTAAAGGCAAAGGATAAAAGGAAAGATATACCCGTTTGAATGCAGAGTTCCAAAGAATAGCAAGGAGAGATAAGAAAGCCTTCCTCAGTGATCAGTGCAAAGAAACAGAGGAAAACAATAGAATGGGAAAGACTAGAGATCTCTTCAAGAAAATTAGAGATACCAAGGGAACATTTCATGCAAAGATG